ACTTTACTTTAACTGAGAGCTGGCCCAATGTATGCCCCCGTTACCGTCCCCCCCCACCTCTTCAATGGATATTCCGAAGATTGTGGCGGCGCGCCCTGCATATAATTCTTTTGTGACGCAGAAGTAAGAGAACATCTTTTGTGACGGATTGCCTTTGCGGTGTTGGGAAACATTTCCCGGTAAATGACTTTTTGCTGTTTTCCTGTTTCACATGTGCTATATAGACCCCCCCCCCCCGCAGTCTCTCGATCAGAGAAGGGAAGAGCTACGGGGGTAGTAGACGCGACCAAAATCCCCCAACTAATGATGTGCCCTGTTCGCTGCTATTTCAACTTTACTTTAACTGATAGCTGGCCCAGTGTACGTCCCCCGTCACCCCCTTGGATGTTCCGCGTTCCATCACTACGGCGTGCCCTGGATATAATTCTTCCGTGGGCGCCTTGGAATGCTTCTTTGGAATTAACCGTGTAGCTCTGCCCACAACCTTCTCTTGGAGGAAGATTTCTGGCAGGATTGTGGACATAGGCTGAAGGGAGTGGACCGAATTCAGACCTGGATAGGTCATCGGGTTTGATCAAATGGCGATGTCAGAACGGCTCCCTTCCCTTCGAATGAAAAGTCCCGGTACCACCCTGAACGGGAAAAATCAACATCGGAAAAATTTCTCTTGAGGTCAAACACGACCTCACTCTTCCAGTGATCGCCCCTTCCCCTCTGATGGGTCCCATACAACGACAATGTACGCTAATCTCAACATGCCGTGATGATGTCTTACTCATCATCACCCATTAAAGAATAGCTATCGATTTTACGCGCGCGTGGTCGGTGCTTCTTTTTTTATTATCTTCTGAGACGATACAAATACTGTCTATTGAACCCCTGTCATCAGTAGATTATTTTTTTATTTTTTTTTGTTTTCCGTCTCAATGTTTAAAGTATCATCCAATTACATGGGATTTCAGCTAGAAGCTCCGAAAATCTCAAATCTATCGCGTGATCTCGCTAATGGTGTTGTACTCATTCGGCTTATTGAGTCACTTCAAGGCAGAAAATACTATGGAAAGGTGAGATAACCAGTACATATGTGAAATAATCAGTGATAATACTTTTCTTCGGTGGTTCAAATTATACGGCTTTCTCTCTTTTTGCATGGGTTGATGTTTGCGTGCAGAAATTTTTTGTACAAAGAAGGTACTGGATAGCTGAGCAGTCATTTTTATGTGGTAATGTTTTTTCAGCACTACTGTATGCTGAAAGTTTCGGGTGGTGTGCACGGTGCAATACATAAAGTTATGATTCCTGCACAGGACGGGGTTTGTGACGGGAGTGGACTGGATCGCTGCCAAAGCTATTTCCTAGACCAATGAGACAGCCTCAGTCCGCGACAATTAGCGGGAAAGGCTTCCAGATTGCGCCCCTTCTTACGCCCTGCCGTTTGCAGAGATCATGATAATGAATCGTCACAGTTGGTAACGGCTTTGTTTTCGGCAAAGGTTGAAAAAGTCAAGAAACATTAAATTGCTCCTTCATTTAATCAGTTTTAGAGGAAGGGAAAAAGCGTGAGCTTGTACCAGATCAGTCCTCCCTGCTCTCAATATTGATGGTGCAGTTAGTAGCCCGAAGCGCTTCTGACCCTTGTGTGCTGTGATATTATATTTTGTGGCAGAATGTATGCTGAGATCTTACAATACGATATAACGATCTTGTTAGATGCACGACCATAATGATAACGAGCTCGATGGGGTCCCACATGCAAGTTTGTGATTCCTCAAACTGACCCTGTCTGCTTCGGAAGTGCCATATGGGTTATCATAGGGCTATTTGCAATTGGCTACAGCATCGTGATGGATCAAAGGGCAGGTTTAGTACGACCACCCCCACCTCCCCTCTTCCTCAAATTTCCCCCCTGGTGCGATAGACACCCTGATGGGACTAACGATGCTGCACAATGGGTTGTGAAAGAGTCATCGTTCCACATGTTTTCCTGCTGTTTGCTGTTTGTGTATTTCGGTAATTTATTGAGAAACGTTTCAGATTTATGAAGATGACCCGACGGAGATTCAAATGTTACTCAATGTCCAAATGGCCTTAGACGCCCTTAGAGAGGATGGTATCAAGACTGTCAATATCGGTAAGTTTACTATCCAGTAATCTGGAGAATATCGAAGATCTGGTTTGTGAGAGGTCAAGAAAACAAAATGGTTATGGATAGCTTTCACACTGAACGACCATCCAGTGACTTTCGGCCACTTTTGTCTCCTGTTCCTCCTGGACAACCACGTCCGTATTTTTTGTGTATCCAACTACTATATCGCCCTTTCATTTTTTTATTTTTATTTTCTTTGTCGAGAACGTATTGGTGTTGCATTTTATCATGATTTTGATTATTATCGCCACCTATTATTATACTATTATTATTATTATTATTATTATTATTATTATTATTATTTCGTTATTAGTATTATTCTATTGTCATTCATTGAATATTGTGCTGCCATGCAGCTTCACGGTAAGTGGACGTTGCACCACGGTGTGAAAGTTAAAAAGTTTTTTCAAGAACCCAAGAGCATGAAGTCTACGGAAAGTTTCAAAAGTCAACTTCGTGAAATTCTATTAAAATGCTGATAAGAAAAAAATCTGATCTTTTCGGAAGTTTGCGCTGCATGTCATTGTTACTTTATGCATTAGTTATTACCATTATTATTATTATGTATTATTATTTACTGCTATTATTATTATCAATTTTATTATTAATTACTGTCACTAGTCGATTACTGTAAGTAAATGGGAAAATTCGACGAATATGCTTCTGGACTTTCAAGTTTTTTTCGAATGATGTCGATTAATTGAAATCGTCTTGCAGAAATCACCTACTTGGTATACGTATATTTGTAATGATTGCCGCGCGTCGCACAGACGGACGTCGTTCTTATTACATGCGGACGAAATTGCAAGTTCAGAGTAGGCTGGTGTTCAGCAGACGTTCGCGCTCAAAGGCGATTGCCTTGTTGACCACGGCCATTGAATTTGACCGTGACGCTCACAAAAGGACTGCGCAGAGTGTTAATACAACGACGCGTTCTACTGGACTGACTTCTGCTTTCTTTACAGGAAGCCATGATGTTGTCGAGGGCAACACCAAACTCATACTTGGCCTGATATGGTGTCTGATTCAACGATATCAAATAGCATCACATTAGACAAAATTCACACCCAAAAAAGCCTCATGATGCCATCGGATCAGGTGTGTCTTTACTATTCTTGACATTCCGTTCTGTACTGAAAACGGCTGGAATCAGACTGGGAACATTCGTGATTAAAACTTACGGCGCTATATCAAGGAAGCGTTGCTGAAATTCAATGTTCATTATATCTGAGATCCTCGATCAATAATTATCAAAAGCAAAAAAAGAGTAAGAAATAAAATGAGTCATGGAAATTGATAAAAGAGGGTAAGTAGTCGTCTCGACTCTACTCAGGACGAAACTGTAGAGACGAAACGGTGCCCCAAACCACTTCTTCGATCGTTCCCAAAAGCCACGGATTTAACTGCGCAGTTTAGGCAGACCAGGGCCGTGATTTGCAACATTCCTAGTTTCATTCCCTTTCGAGTTTTTCTTTGGTACCATTATTTTTATGTGAATTTGGTTAAAGTGAAAGCTGTCAAGTGATGATCATCCACTTGCGCCCACGTAACTCTTCATGGTAGAACTCGGGCGGCTTCTCATCTGCATTCATAGAAAATTGACGATTGTGAGTTTCGACTCGAGGTCCGAGACCACCCATATTTCATCTAGGGCCGGGGTGCGTTTTCACAGTTGTGAGTGACATCTCATGCTGAGAACATTACTGCTAGAGGTATAGAATCGGTACTGCGTTCGTGCTTCTATAAGAAAATTGGGTACCCATGCGCCACCCTCTTGACCATCCTCCGTTTATCGGACATAACTCGGGCAGCAGTTGCAGCTGGGATGTCAGACTCGCGGGGAAGCTCGACAAGGGTCCAGGCTCTGTGATCAGATATTCAGTGCCTGACTTCATCCACCCGTTTTTCTTGGCTGCTCAGGATGAATATTATGGGACCACCACGACAACAAATTTTTTCCTTTCTTCCTTGTACGGGCTCCTGAACCAGATCTTCCACCGTGTATTTCGAGAACACCCTTACACACAACTATGGTCCGGCGCAGGTCAAATTTGAGCAGCGCACTTTCCTTTTATGACGTCTGATTTGAAAAACCGGCGCCGATTTTCACCACTCGGGCTTCTCTTCAATTTCTCGAGAACTTCTTCAGAGGCTAGGTTCGCCAAATTTCACAGATACACAGCTTAAGGTACTAGCTTCCAAATGGTATAGTAGCCCGCTGCTCTATCCCCTTTGCTTTTCTGCCATTCCTCTATATGTGTCGGCCACTTTGAATGGGATGACCTAATACTAAGGTTTCTTGTCGGCGACAACTTTTGAGCAATGACTAAATTAGTGCATGACACGCTGTGATTGTTTGGTCTCCCATGGGTTATGGGTTACATAATAGTGAAAGGGTTCACGGGAAATCCTCAGATTTCATCTACAAAACAGATCACAATGGGCACAGAAATCGTACTCTCCTCAATACTCAACCGCGTACGACTCTCGATCTCGCCTGCTCGGGTATTAATGGGCCGGAAAGGGGCGTCCACGGCCCGGTCTCCAAGCACGCTCTCGCTGCAAGCTTTAGAAGGTATTTGTCATGAAACATTACTGACCAGCAGTGAAGGGAGCAAGGAAAACGCTATCGAGGGATTGAGAGAAGCGAAGAGAAGAAAAAAAGGAAGGAGGAAGAAAAGGAAAGAGAGCGAGCCTCGTACGTTGACAAGTGTACTGAGACTGTCGCGCGAGGCTAGCGTATTGGCGCCAGACGTTTTCCATCCAATTGCTGCTCTACGCTCTCCAAGATAGGTGAAAAAGTAGCTTGACGACCCGCGCCAAACCCCAGTATTGGTAAGAAGTTAGTCATCCCGCGCAACACTAGGCAGTATAAGCAGGTGATGGTGATCTCATAGTATTGTTCTAGTCAGCTCTACCGGAAATGAAGCTCACAAACTTCCGGACGAACTGGAACGATGGTCGAGCATTAAGTGCGTTGTTGGAATATTGCCAGTCAGGTTTGTGTCCTGAGTGGAGGGGACTGGATCCAGAGAAAGGGTAAGTGACTTACTTCGACTTTCTTTGAAAAGCTGTATTCCCTCATGAAGTTACTTTCAGACTGGCAAACTGTGAAAGGGCTCTTAAACTTGCCAATGAATATCTGAACATACCACCAATCATATCAGCAGCTCACTTGAATAGCCCACATTTGGACGAGTTATCATGTATTACTTATTTATCATATTTATATGACGAGGAGCTTGTGCGCTATCAAGCTACATTTGCGACATGTTCCGAAACGTAAGTGCTACTCGAAAATAACCGTGAGCAGTTGTGTCGAAGTTTCTAAATAAATCTGACAAAGATTACTTCGCAAGTGGAATCTCTTTTCGTGTTATCGACGGACAAGTCCGCTGTCACACAGAGGGCCACTTTTGCGTTGAAAGTGCGAGATATGGGGCTGGTGCACTGATTGACGGAAGCCACCGAGTCAGGAAAACTCGTAGAACGTTGAAATTGAAGGGGCCTCATTCGGTTGTTTTTTTTGACCGTTTCTTTTGTTTGTTCGCCACTATTAAAGGCTATTCCCGCGACCAAGTGTTACGAGTATTAGGTGCTCAATCATGAACCAGTAGCGCACATGAGTAACTCCCAGTAGAGAGAGAAGCGAAAAAAAAAAACTTGGAGCATTCTGAATGATAGACCCCTGGCGAGAAGTGGCAGACAAACAGGACAGACATATAAAAAAGAGTGTTAAACGTCGGCCAGTCAGCAGGATTCAACGTTCGCGAGCGGCATCCCTGGCAGAGCACAGGAACTCAACTTTACGACGCTCCAGGCAAACGCCTGCAAACACGCAATTATGCTTGGTTCTGCCGGCAAGTGAAAGTAACTTTCATGGTTGGCAGTGCTGCAATAATCACGCCTCTATAGCTTCCTTATCTCGCCGTTTTGAGTAACGAAAGTGGTATATTCTCTGCGAATGCGGACAACGATGCCAAATGCACGGAGGCATTTCGCGCGACCACTAGATCGCGGAGCCACACTTCTGTTCTGTGTCTTCACAATCAACGATTTGCCAGCCACATATCGTGTCATGTTAGCGTACGAGTAATAGGTAGCCTTACGCTCGACATGTAGGAGGGGGCTTGCATAAGCCGCCACACCCATCGGTGCGTCATGCTTGTCTAATGCAGCATTTCCGCCGGCCCTGTAGGATTGCGTGTCATACTTCAAGCCAGCGTTTTAGGAAACTCCCTGCGCACTTCAGCTAAACGTGGCGATGGTTGAAAAAGAACTTGTTGACATATACTCGACAATCCCTGACCTGAGGTCGGGTAAAGGGCGTGGCAATTTTCAAGTTAGCCCTGCAGAAGTTCTCCTATGGCTTGCTGATGGGATATTTCACGCGCGACCACATTGTGTCGCTGCTCTCTGTCCGACACAGAACAGAATGACCAGTTGTCTGAGACTGGATATTCCGGACGTAACCAGTTTCGTGCCATGTTGGAATGCCGCTACTCTGGCCTCAGCGATAAGGAACGTGTAATTTGTGATCCAGATATCTCTGTCCAAACCACAGAATAAGAATGACAGTTGCTCCCAAACTGAGATATCCCTCAAATATATTACTATGCATTATACATCAAAAAAAACTATGTTGCCATGTTCAAATGCGAACTCTTATCCGCTCACAGGGATAATGCACTGTACAGCTTTAGCACATTAAATTTGAATTCCTTTGAACATCCGCGGTCACTCATTTTTATTTTCAAACTTTACGTCGGCCCTTGAAAGACTGCGTTAAGACAGCTCGCACTTCCGCAGAAAATCAACAAACTATGACGGAAAAGTGTGACTTTAATTGTTAGCTCCTTTAGCTCCTTCCGGACAATATAATTGATGGTTTTGAAACATCATGGAGTGATGGCTACCTATTTGCGCTCCTTGTCGAAGCTGTCGGAGGACCGGTTCGTTTCTCAATTACTGTCTAGTCCTAGTTGAACCTTTCAATTTGTGAACCGATTTCACCGCTGGTCTGATATTACTAATGTACTCGTTCAGGCTATTGATGTGGAACAGATGAGATTCGAGACATTTGAGGACTGCGTTGAGAACATTAATTTAGGTTGGATACTTTTTCCTGTTCAGTTGGAGAGTACAGGTTTTTTATTAGCTGGGCTAGCTCCACATTTCTATTTTTCTTCCAGTTCTACTATTTCTGGAGGGAACTGGAATTTTAGAAGACTTTTCCCGGGTGCAGCAGTCCCCCGATCAAGCACTAGCGGTCCATTTAAGACTCGGTGATAGCGTAGGGCCATCTGCAAAAAAGTGAGATGGTAAAGGGGAAGCGGGACGTCAGTCAGCCAGCGAAGGCTAGGTTCATGCGTAACTTGCCACTTTTATTCATGCTCCTGCTTGCGCAGTTCGTAATCGTACAGTAATCTAAGGTGCGAGTCATTGTTGACCATAAGTGGCCTGACACCTCTGTGTTGAGGTACGGGTCAAAAAATGGCTATCGAATAGCGTCTGCGGTTACGAGGGGAAAACACCGGAAGCATGGCCACACCAAACAACTAAAAAAAAAAAAAAAAAAAAACAAAAAAAAAACAAAACGGCTGACAGTACTGCCCTACTGCCCTGCCCTTTTTATAATTTAGTGAACTTACACGGTGAGTGTCTACTAAGCTGAACAGTGTGTCCATAATAAACAAATCATATATGTCGATTTGACGTTTGAGTTATTGTATTATGCAAAATTTCTTCCTGAGCTGAAAAATAAGCACGACGGTGCGGTGAAGACAGTTCACCTTGTGGTGCAGGAATTGCTGCATAATGGTCCAAGTCACAGCTTGAGATATACCAGCTCTCAGTCTTGCCTTCCTGCGTATGAGTGGGGAGAGTGTCGTCGGGCGGGGGGGGGAAGATGTTTGGCCGCGGCACCCAGCTCGATTGTTCCTTTTATTTCTCACCAAACGACAAGGCTGCATCTATATCGTTTGTACTCCAGCCGTTCCTCCAGTTGCTGTCGTTTATCTGCCCAAACCACTGGTGAAGAAGGGGCTGGCGGGGCGCTAAAGCCTTCCTCATGACACGGCCCCTCATCGGCAGTGAACAAAGCACTGTAGTCGCGTGTAGCTGGCTGCTGAATCTTTTGGGTCCGTCGCACCTCAAGCCCATTTAACCCAGAATCCGCTCGAAATCCATTTTGCTTCTTTGCAGTTCTCGAAGCGGCGTCTGAGATCGGCGTAGGCTCCCTAGTCGGAGCCGAGGACATCGCTGATCCTCAAGGAGAACACTTGGGTGGGTTCAAGTTGCTTATTTTTAGGATACAATTTTTTGCATAAACACTTTTTGCCTTCGTCTTATGCTATATCTAAATTCCTTGTACGTAATATATCAGTATTAGTTCATGGTATTACTGTATTACGGTATTGATTTGATGGTTTTGCTAGCATATCATGAAGTAGCATGTTTTATGGCTTCATGGGTCCAAATTTCAGATATTAATGGCCTTGGCTGCGCTCTGTGTGCGGTTGGACCTCAGCCGATTTTCCGGTTACTCAGTGCTTCACTAATCAACAGGTAATTTCTGCTGATGGGCTCTTCTTCGAAGTGCGCATGCTGACGCTTATTGCCCGTACGTCTTCTGGAACGGCTTCAGTTTCGTTCGTTCCGGAGAGTGGGGCGTGTCAGGAGGCTGGGTTCGGCGCGGCGCCAACTCGTTTTCCACCAGCTGTGGTAGCATTCCAGCTTCCACAATTATTAAACGGGTTGTCGCCACACCACCAGCCCTTGAAGCGCCTCAGTACCTGCAGGGGACTGTAACAATGTGCTGCTTTTGCCGTAAGAACTGGAGAAACTGATTAAAATTCCTAGCTAATGGAAAGAGTAAGTGTGAAGAGCTCACAAACAAGGCAGGAACGATTCCTGCGGCTGAAAGCCATGTTGCCTGACGGTCGGTTGAGCAGAATTTTTTTGCTTAAACATGGAGGATAACGGTCGAGTCGGATGGTAAGGTGCCGAGAGTCCGGTCAACATCAAGCCGCCAAGGTTATCTTCAACGATGGAGACCGGTTTATTCCGGTAAGTCGTTCTGACCCTTCAGGTACGTTGTTGCTCTCATAAATTTTCTTATTCACTGCATGTCATGCGATGGTACGGGACGGTGCAGGTAGGACAGGTCCAAGGGGGCCGGGGGGCATAAAAAAGCCAAAAAGCCGGAAATGACGAGGTGATGACAATGCACTTTCACTTCAGACACTAATTCTAATTCGTCAGTGCATTTTTAGAACGTCCATAGTCTCCAGTTTCTCTCTTCTTGCAAAATCTGATACTTGAAACACGTTCAGGCCTCTGAAGACGACGATTGTGTCGAAACGTTAGGCCTTTAAATAAATGTTCCACCTGACAACCTCGTACGGCACAAAAAACAGAACCTCCAGTGTCTCCGGCGAACAAAGCCACCTCCACCCGGTCCTCACGGCAATTTTCAAAAAAAAAAACTGGAATAATTATCGCAAGTGGTATGGAGACGAAGTTTGGGACATTGTAATTAGGACGGGGAAGGGGGAAGGTTCGTACCAGAAGAGAATTATGGCGGGAATGGGGAATTTAGCCGTCATTTCTAACCTGATCTGTCACACAAAACAGAACCGGTAGTTACCAGTAGTTTGCCTCCGCTTCCTATTCTGGATAAGAATATCTTCTTGATAACAGTTCCCGAATTTACAATGAAAATTTAAAGGAAAGTGGACTTGGCTCTCTAAAGGTCATGTAAGAAGGGGGTCTAACAGAGTCTAAGAGGGTCTAAGAGACGAAGCGGAAATCGTGCATCACTTTTTCCGTGCTAGAGCGCTGTTCCACACATATGCTCTTCGTTAGGAGAGGTCTTCATGAAGTGGTCGAACATAAAAAGCTTGAGTGATCGCTGTTTGCCATGCGCTTCAAACATTACCAGTCAATACGAGGCGGAGCTGTGCTAAACTGTTTACTAGTCACTACTTGTTATGGTACTTTTTTCATTGAAGGTGAACCTCGATTTGGCCTTTGCTGACGGCGGTGAGGTACGAGTGGATGAACTTGGTGTTCGAGGTATAATTCATGTTTCCTTTACTAATTTGTTTAACTATCAAATAATTCCAATTTTTGGTATTGATTGTTTGGTGGTCAAGGGCCGCTACATTTCGGTCACGTTTCTTCTAGAGACAACATGCAAATTATTTAGGTCAATTTTTTTAAATTTTTCCTTGAATTATTCCTACTCAATCGATACTTCTCATTGCATATGTTTTGTTAAGAGTAATGGCTTGATTGTCAAATGGTTTGTCGATGACTAAGCCAATCATGTGGTCGCCAGTTAAAAATATCAACTGCTTAGCGATGTTTGTATTACTATATTGCGTTACTGTAGCGCTGCCGCCAGATGTTTTCGTGACAAACAGCTGTGATGTTCTTGTTCAGAAGGTCGGAACACCCGCGAAGCCAAATTTCCAGCCAGTTGTGCCCCCGATGACAAATTTTACTAAAAATCAAGCTTAAATTTCGAACGGGGAGATGGGGAGTAAAGGGTAAATAGCGCTCTCTTTTCCTTATCTACAAGCTTAAGCGCCATAACTATACAGTAAACAACAGATCGTCGATTTGTTGACATGATTAAGAGGTGTGATTAACGATGTGGGCGTGGTCTATGAGGTGGGAAAATTCCTCCAACCCCTCTTCAGCTACAAAACTGCCACAGAATAATTCCTCCTCGTCGTCTCTAGCCTGCAACTCAGTAGTATTAATTTCGTCGACTTTTACAAAGGCTATTTTTTGCTATCGTAATATGGTGCTGTCCCGGAGCCTCATTGTAATCTGAACATGAAACACGTGAAAGAGGCGCCAAAAAATTTATTGCAAAAAACTCAAAAGACTCAAAAGAATCCAAAAGTTCTTGCAAAAATTTTTTGTTTCTAATACTTCCTTCGAATATTTCGGTGCCTAGCACCTTCCTCAGCGATCTGAAATACTATAGTTAGTCCTCTGCAACCTGAATCCCGGATCTGTCTTCAGTGGTGCCCGAACTGGACTCTGACCTGGTCTTCTGCCTCCAATATAGCCTCCGCCGCTCCTTGCAAAAGTGCGACTTTTGCAAGGAGCGGCGGAGGCTATATTGGAGGCAGAAGACCAGGTCAGAGTCCAGTTCGGGCACCACTGAAGACAGATCCGGGATTCAGGTTGCAGAGGACTAACTATAGTATTTCAGATCGCTGAGGAAGGTGCTAGGCACCGAAATATTCGAAGGAAGTATTAGAAACAAAAATTTTTGCAAGAACTTTTGGATTCTTTTGAGTCTTTTGAGTTTTTTGCAATAAATTTTTTGGCGCCTCTTTCACGTGTTTCATGTTCAGGGCTATTTTTGGGCGTTGTTTCTATTGAGTTACACTTGATGCGCGCTAAGGAAGGGATCTCTGATAACGGATGGAGAAGCTATGGGCCGGAAATCACGAGCATTGTGCCTTCCTGCCTTCCTTGTTAGATCACTTGCTCCTCTAACAGAGTGGAACAAGCCCAAGGAGAACACAACATTTGCGAGTCTCCGCCCTTTCGGTTATCGAGGACTGTGCCTATAACCCTCATGCGGTGTATGGTAAAGTAGTAATGGCGAAAGCAGGCAATAATGAGCTCTTGCGAAAACGCACGCATATATCGAGTAGTGCAATCGGACATCCTTGGTTGTTCCCAGCGATTCTGAGATACCCTTTTTGCTGTCGACCACCCTCAATATTTTCATTTATTCAATTTTTCAATGTAGTCGATTATTTTCATTTTAATGATTTTTCTTTGGGACGAATATGAGATGAGGTGAATTTTTGCCGTTCTTTTTTGTCATCACGTGGTTGCACAGGCTACTGGGAGCTTTCCAAGCTTGCGCTGTAGCACCCCATATATCTCTGACAAATCTTGTTGTGTAAGCAGGACTGTCTAGTATTCTCTCTACTGCGTTATGTAC